CCTGGAAAGCCGCTGCACTTGCATCGACTGTCCTACAGTTTGTCCTGCACTTCCTTACGACCCTCCACAGATTAACAGCCCAACATGCCAAGTCGGCACGCTTTCATGCCTCTCATTCGTACTCATCCTCGCATACTCTCTCTGCGTAGTTGCCTGTGTATTTGGATATGTTCTTCAGGTCACTATAAGGAAGCGAAGAGAGAAAAGATACGAGAGAATGGCATTATCAGTGGACACCGCATCCATCCGCTCCCCTCCATTACACACACGCGGTCTTGTTGGCGCGGTCTCACTTCCGCAAGGTGACGCAAATGACTCCCTCGGAGCTCAATCCACAGAATCTAGGCGACTCGGTCGTGGTGCTTCCCTTCTTGATCCCATTGAAGCGTCTCAGCCACGCCAATATCGCCTCAACACAATCCTTCGTCGCGTTTTCTATCGTTTAGGCTTTGTTGCAGCATCCTGGCCATTCTTGACATTTTCACTCGTGTTTACCGTGATTGGTCTGCTCAACTTGGGCTGGCAAAGATTCGACATTGAGACTGACCCAGTCCGGCTATGGGTCGCTCCCGACTCAGAAAGCAAATTACAGAAAGAATACTTCGATGAACACTTTGGTCCCTTCTATCGTCCACAGCAAATATTTATCACTGCACTCTCAGGCCCTCTCATCACCGTCGACCCGCCTTCATTCACACGTACTGGTGTATCTTCGCAAGGTCCTGTACTCAGTTACGACCATCTACGATACTGGATGGACGTAGAGAGTGATATACGTGCTCTCCGTTCTTCCCCCAATGACTACGGCCTCACAGATGTATGTTTCAAGCCCGCCGGGCCACAAGGAGCATGTGTCGTACAGTCTGTTGGTGCATGGTTTGGTAATGATCTCAGTAATTACGACGAAGAGTCTTGGAAAAACCGATTGGTTCAATGTGCAAACTCCCCTGTGGATTGCCTTCCAGATTTTCAGCAGCCTCTTAGCCCACAGTATGTCCTAGGTGGCGTGCCCGAGGATATACATGAGCGCAATTCATACCTCAATGCAAAGGCTCTCGTCGTCACTTATGTGGTGGCGAATTCACTCGACGAGGCGGAAATCGCGAAGGCTGTCGAATGGGAGCAAACTCTGAGGACATATCTTGTCGATCTTAGCGAACGCATTCCCTCTGAGGCGGGCATGAATATCGCATTCTCTACTGGCGTTTCTTTAGAGGAAGAAATCAGCAGGAGTACCAACACTGACGTCAGGATTGTTGTCCTCTCGTATCTTGCAATGTTCCTCTACATATCATTGACTCTGGGCAATGGGTCAGCAGCAAGGGAGGAAGAGGGTGTAATGGCATCCCTCTCTTTGTGGGCTCGCAATTTCCCTCAGCTATTCAAACGGTCAAGCATTACTTCCTCTTCGGTCTCTGTCGACTCCCGTAATACGCCGCACATTTTACCGAGGCTGCCTCGCCATCTCTTCGTCGGCTCGAAATTCACGTTAGGCTTGTTTGGAATCGGACTTGTCATTCTGTCCGTCTCATCCTCAGTTGGTTTCTTCTCCCTTGTCGGCGTCAAGACGACCCTCATTATTGCTGAAGTTATTCCTTTCCTTGTACTCGCCGTCGGTGTCGACAATGTCTTTATTCTCGTTCACGAGCTTGACAGGCAAAATTTCCTCCACGGGCCTAATGCTTCAGCAATTGCTCCGGGAGGAGGATACCCAGCGCCCCGCTCTCCTAATCCTCACCGCTCACCTTTTGAATCGGCACATGATGAATCTGTCGATACTGCCTCGGTACCCTTGTATCTATCTGCAGAGGAAAGGGTTGCGCGGACGTTGGCAAAGATGGGTCCCTCAATTCTGTTGAGCTCTGTGACAGAAACAGTTGCTTTTGGCCTTGGTGCGTTGGTGCCCATGCCAGCTGTACGCAACTTTGCCTTGTATGCCGCTGGTAGCGTCTTCTTGAATGCGCTGCTCCAAGTTTCTGTCTTTGTCAGTGCGCTTACCATTGATCTGAAGCGTGTAGAGGTTAGTACTTGTCTGTCGGTCCACAGATAACTTTTTAGACTAATTACTTCTGCAGGCAAGCCGAGTTGACTGTTTCCCCTGCATTAGATGGCCTTCCCGCATCGCCCTACTTGATGCTCCCATGAACGCAAGTGGACTAGGCAAGGTTGCTCGCTTCATCCGACGCCACTATGCTCCTTTCCTCCTTCGACCAGTTGTCAAGGGTGCTGTACTCCTTACTTTTGCGGGTTTCTTCGTGCTCTCTGCAATATCGATGCAGCACATTCAGCTGGGACTTGGTTCGTAATTTAATATCAAGTCAAGCTTTACTGTACTAACCACTTGACAGACCAAAGGTTGGCTCTCCCCTCGGATTCATACCTTAACGACTACTTTGATCATCTTGATGTGTACTTGGATGTCGGACCTCCAGTTTACTTCGTATCTCACGACCTTGACGTGACCCAGCGCTTTGGCCAGCAAGAGCTCTGTGGTCGTTTCACGACCTGTGATGAGTTATCTGTCGCTAACGTTCTCGAGGCTGAACGGAAGAGACCCGAGTCGTCATTTATCTCGCAGCCGACTGCGTCATGGATAGATGACTTTCTCAAGTGGCTTGATCCTGCCATGGAGACATGCTGTCGTGTACGCAAGAGAAATCCTTCCATTTTCTGTACTCCGAGAGATTCAGATCGATTATGCCAACCCTGCTTATACGGCAAGGAACCTGCCTGGAACATCACTATGGTCGGATTGCCCGAAGGAGAAGAGTTCATGCGGTATCTGAAGCAGTGGCTCATCTCACCTACAGACGAGACGTGTCCCTTGGCTGGCAAGGCATCATTCGGCACTGCACTCTCGCTTGACGACGAAACTGGTGTCGTGGCATCTCACTTCCGCACATCACACTCGCCTCTTCGCTCACAAGATGATTTCATCAATTCCATGGCGGTCGCACGCCACATAGCAACCAAGATATCAGAGCTCACCGGATCACAGGTTTTCCCTTATTCTCTGCATTACGTTTTCTTCGACCAATATGCACACATCATTGCCATCACGCAGGAGATACTCGGACTTGGGCTGGCTGCTGTGCTAGTGGTCACAGCGCTACTGCTAGGCTCATGGCGCACAGGGACAATTGTGACGGGTGTGGTCGCGTTGACAGTAATAACTGTCATGGGCGTGATGGCAGTATGGGGCATTAGCCTGAATGCTATTAGTCTGGTGAACCTGGTCATTTCAATCGGCATTGCAGTGGAGTTTTGTGCTCACGTTGCAAGGGCCTTCATGAGTGCTGGTTCTGGTTTACCAGCTGATCATCCTGCAGGACAGAAAGAGCGAGATGAAAGAATGTGGACCGCCCTTGTTGACGTCGGACCCTCAGTGAGTGGCTCTCCTAATTGGTGCCTCGCCATGACTAACATCTCTCAGGTTCTGTCCGGTATCACATTCACCAAGCTGATCGGCATGTCTGTCCTTGCGCTCACCCGATCCAAGCTGTTGGAAGTAAGTCTTCAAATTACTGGTGGAATTGTGCACAGGTTTTATGCGCCCCCACAGATATACTACTTCCGCATGTGGCTTACTCTCATCATCTCTGGGGCTTTACATGGTTTGGTACTTCTACCCGTCGTACTTAGCCTTGCTGGAGGACCAGGATTTGCTCAGCAAGAAGCTGATGAAGAGTGGATGTCAAATGCCATCAGGAGTGATTATGAGTATGCGTAAGTGACACCCTTCAGTTTCGAAACCACTGTTAACATTATGCATGGTAGACCTTTCCTTGCCGATGACGATTCCATGGCCAGCGATTAATATTAGAGCATGGATCAAGACTTCATTGTGATACTGTAAAACAGGGACGGTAACCTTCATAATTACAGCAGCAAAGATACTAGAGTATATAGAATTGCTTTTATACTGGAGATCTGGACCTGCTATCTCTGATGTCATCTCGACTGTAACTCCTCCTTCCGCGGCTGAGAGACTTTGAACGAGTTCTGCTACGGCTGTACCGCGAATAAGAAGAGTAGGATGCGGAACGAGAGCGAGACCTAGAGGGAGTGCGTGAACGAGAGCGACTGGAGCGCACCGAGTAGCTCCTGGAGCGGGTTCGACCCCTACGCCCATACCCAGTCCCAATCCCTCCACGCTCGTAACTTGGAGACCTCCTTCTGAGTGGCAAGCGGTCCCCACGCCTGATAGGCGAGCGGGAACGTGATCGAGAAGGACGGTACGTGTCCCTGGCGGGGGGTCCACGACGTCCGAAGCCTCTGCCTCCTCGGAAAGATTCGTTGAAACGAGAAGGTTCATAACCTCTCCTACGGAACACCGGTGAGCGGGAGCGGGAACGCGAGCGAGACGGTGAGCGCCTTTCACGGCCGTTACGTGGAGGACGAGGGCGAGAACGAGAACGAGTGCGGATTGGGAGATCAGATAACTCGACCTTCACAATCAAACCATCTAGTTGACCGCCATTCATGTGTGATACAGCTTTCTGGGCGGATGCTGCATCTGTGAATTCAAGAGCAGCCTTTCCTCGATTCTGGCCGGCTAGAATGTGGGAATGAATCAGATGTGCAAGAATGATAAATATCTAGAATCTTACATTTCAGGAAGAGTGGAAGGTCAATCTTCACGATTTCCCCATAGAACGCGAAAATAGTCTGTAGATGCGCTTGCACGACGTTGCGAGACAGACCGTTTACGACAACCACTTTGCACTTCTTGTCATCGTTTCCCCCATTCTCCATGTCTACATCGGCATCCTGCAAGGGCTTTGGGGAGATGGACCGTCCTCTGGTCGACATGGTTGAGCTTGTTGGCCGATTTTTTGAACTTGCAAGGGAATGCGAAGTGACACATCACACGCGTCACATTGTCACAACATAACCCGAGGGAAGACAGTCATTCCCTCTATCGTTGAAAATTTGTGTCATGCGCATTCAGCACTCCAAACATAGGTTTTTCTGAGACACATTGCGAGTTGTAAAACCTTCACCATCGCAACATCAATGTTTTCAATCATGTCTTTCACAATTTCATCAGCCAAACAACATCTTGACTGTCACCAATATTAGAAAGTGTCTCCATTGTCGGCCAAGAAAAGCTCTGCTGATTACTCAATCACTCAATCCTTGCTTTCTTACGGCGTGAGCCCTTCTCTAATCCATGGGTCCGCTTGGCATGTCTCTTCAGCAGATCTTGACGAACGAAGGTCTGCCCACAAATTTCGCAATGATAGGGTCTCACGCCAGTATGGCTCGCTTCATGACGTTTGCATTCGTTCTTGCGGAGGAACCGTTGTGGGCTATCGACAATCGTCAATGAGTGTTAGCCAGTGATCGCCAGAGATGTAGCAAAAATAATGCGAACCACATGGAACAGCTGAATGGCCGTTGATCAACGTGAGCCCCGACATGTACGATGATGTGATCTCGGCGCTTGTTCCTCTGGTCACACCCGACGACGTAACATCGGAACTCTTCTATAAGCTCTCCGCGGTCGCTCAACTTGCCCGCGAAATGCATCAACCATCCTCGATCGATCTCTTGTACAGAATGGCGTGCCCTATAGCGCTCGGCTCTGAAGGCGAGCTCAGACAACTCAATTCCCATGTGCGCGTTGAGAATTGGCGATGGATGTAGATCGTTGTAGATGCTGCGATCTGGATCGACCGTGGTGTGCCTTGGCGGAAACATATCGTTGGAAGAAGGGAACGAAAAATTGTCGTAGCTAGAAAAAATGTAACGCTCCTCTTGATTTGGGGAGAACACACGCAGTATAGATGCATCAGGCAATGTCTCCAACTTAATTATCGGGGACGCCCTAGCCCTCTTCTGCGGAGCGCATTGTTCGAAGGACGGCTGTTCGCTATATATGACTGGCATAGGCTCCGGCTGGACAGTTTCCTGTGTTGCAGAAGTGGACAAGATGGTAACAATATCGTGAATTAGACGTGGCGATGGGCAATCCTGAGATGGTGGACTGGGGGTAAATTCCTGCATCGGGCCAAGAGTGGAGGGAACTGAATCGTGAATATGGGGCGGAGAGCATCGGAAGGTAACATTGCGAGGGGTGAGGTGGGGCGACAGGTATGCTGGAGGGGACGCGGGTAACCATCCCATGATGGCTGAGGGATCGACACCTACACTGGGTGACTTCGTAAACAGTGCGAGGTTGTACATGTTGACGTCAGGAATGAGACCAATGTTGGAAGGTGAACAAGAGAGAACATCATCCGCGAGGTGACGAGCCAAGGAGAACTCTCTTGAAGTCTGACCTTCCTCATTTTCAGTGACTGACGGAGCGGAAGCTAGGGAAGCCGATGACGATGAAGAGGAATGCCCAAGGTTAGGCAACGAGGTGTCGCTTGAAAAAGTGAAGGAGCTTTGAGACTCGTTTAAGTGACTGAGGATTCCGGCAGTATGATCTGTTAGTTGGAATGCCGCGCACGGGGGGTTTGAATGATCTGGGGTGCTACTGATATCGTCCGCCCCCATATACGAAGCACTTTGTCCCTCGCCGTACAAATAGTGTCCCTCGGCGACTTGCATGAAATTACTGGAATCAATTTGGTAGTGAATTCCAAGCCCAGCGAGGAGGCGACGAGAAGGTGACTTTAGGAGCCCATTGTACTGAGAATCTGAAGATAACCTTGAAAGTTCGCTAGGGTCCTCGTAACGCATGTTTGAAGAAGAAAAGAGTGTGGGGGTAGTCATTCGATTTAATCGCAACGCCAGCGTCGTGGTATTATCAGAAGTCATATGAATAGTTGTTCTTGGGGCATAGCTGCATGTCGCGTCGCGAAGGTGTCTCATTAAATGTGATTAAAGTAGAATAGACTGTGAAAGAGCGAGGTCGTATTTTTCTTGAACTGGCGGGAGATTCAACTAAAGGAGAAAGTTGCAAATGGAAATATGTCGATCCATGTTTACACCTGTTTGGTAAGAGCATTTACGTGTGTACTCAACACCAGATGCTCAGGCTGAAGCCAGGTTTTCAAGTATTAGCGAGACATGCTGGCTTTCGTGCTAGAGGTCTTACAACAGTCAATGCATCGAGGTCTTTACGAAGGGCAACTGCAACACTGCTCATAGGATGCACATCTACTGCTATCGCCGCTTATTTTCTCTTACCTGACATCTCCCGAGGCGCGCCAACTTGTGACAACATACCCCTCAGTCCGTCTCACTTCACACCAGCAAAACTCGTTTCATCCACTATCACATCAAGTGGAACAAAAATTTTGACTCTCGCGATACCTCCCGAACTTTTACCCGAGGAAAGCGATCTCTTCGCACCTATTTGGTCCGTCTTCATCAAAGACGATGACATACAAGTGGAGCGACCTTACACTCCACTTGATGGGGTAGACGAAAATGGAAATATGAAGTTCTGGATCAAAAGATATCAACATGGCGAAGTCAGCCGATGGTTGCACTCAAAACAAGTTGGGGATATCATCGAAATTCGAGGCCCTCTCAAAACCTGGTCCTGGAATGATGATACTTGGGACGAGATCATTTTGGTGAGGAAATAGTAATAGTCAATTTTATAAAACTAATGATTTTTTGCGTTCAAGATATCTGGCGGTACTGGGATTACTCCGTTCTACCAGCTGCTGCGTACCGTATTACCTGGCAACTCATCCTTTCAAGGTCGAATCACACTCTTACATTCATCAAAAACACTTTCTGAGCTGCCCCCGCACGATATCCTTGATCCCCTGTTAAAATTTGCGCAGCATAATCCGGAGAAGTTCAGGCTGAAGTTCTTCGTTGACTCGTTTGGCGAAAACAAAGGTCAAAGTTCTATAGATCTAGAGGTACACAAGGGTCCTATTGGTAAAGAATCAATACGTGGCGCTCTCCATTCTGTCTCTTGTTTTCCTTGGTGGCGCGGTTTGTTCTCGCAAGATAGTGATGTCAGTGACCGAAAGATACTGTTTTTGGTTTGTGGTCCTGAGAAGTTAGTCCCCACTTACGTTCTCTGTTCTGATGTTGCTCATTGATATGTCACAGAATGGTTGAGGCTATCGCAGGTCCTTATGGCCGGAACTACTCACAAGGGCCAGTAGGCGGAGTGTTGCAATCATTGGGATACAAGTCGCGCCAGGTCTGGAAATTATAGATATTCGACACTTGCACAGCCGTATGCTTCTCAAATTTCAAACTTCCTTTACCCGGTTTGTCCCCCCCCCCCCCCCCCCCCCGCGGGCTTTTGATCTGAGATGGGCTGCTATTTTGTGTCACTTTTAGCTTGCTAGTTATATATCTGTTTAAGAGGACTCATCATGGCCCAGACGCTGATTCCGTATTTTAGGTAACTTCCGTGTAATTTTGCGAGTTGTCCGCTACTGAAGTGAATACATTGTTGTGTCTCCACGGTGATAACACTTCCCGGGCACGCTCCAAGCATCGCTTTGAGCTGCAGGCAACGCTACCGATCCCCTATTCGAACCTTCATATACTGTTTCAACTGACTCATACATTCAAACACAAGTCTAATCCGACAATGGCCCCCCGAGAGTTTTCAGGAACTTGTCACTCAATATTGGCCATCGAACTGGTCCTCGCCAGTGTTGAATGAAGGTGGAACCATCAAACTACTGTGCAGCTTTTGCACCCTGTACGTGGAATCACTGGGTGTGATGAAGGTCATACTGTGAGCTTTTTGTCTTGTCCCTCTCGATATTTATAGACCAGACCAACTTGGGACAGAAGATCACTGAAAAAACAATCTCCGTTACTGCGAAGAACCAAGAACTTTGGTTTCCTGGATGGTCATACAGTTGTGTCTCAATTCGTCTTTCCTGTGACCTCTTGTTTCTGTATATGCGCGCCGGAGCAACACAGATGATCAATCAGGATGTGTCTGGCTGTGAAAATCGATGCAACGCCGATGGCATCAAATGCTGTGTTTTGCATACTGATGATGTTATAGCCGGAGGTGCACATGAGGCGACAGATGCTGAAGATCTTGGAAGACCGGGGGCATTGAATGGCATCGTCGAGGGTGCTTCAGCCTGGGAGGGGGGTAAGGCATCTGTTAGCCACGTGTGGACCTACTCTATCTTTCATTTCTGACCTTTCTTGAGCCTCACCAACAGGTTGTGACCGTGACAATGCATCTCATCTAGACACGTGGGGGATCAATGAAGTGCATGGTCTCACTGATGGAATTGCTGTAAGTACTGATGCGAGTGCCAAGAACATCTTGAAAATAATATTGGCAATTTGGGAATCAAATACTAGCAACACAACCCGATTTTCAAACTCTTCCGGTGTTCAACAACGTGTGCGTGTCTCACTGCTTTGCAGATCCACAACCAGGCTGTGCTTCCGACTCAATTGAGGGCTTCCGTGTTCTCCGTGATTTTGTTTGATGATACTTACTTTGGTCAAACAAGGCAAGAACGAGGGACAGCCTCATGATGCTTATTTCGCCGATATAGGCGCTGGATGGTGATATATTTAGTACGAACACCATCGGTTTACGTCCACCCACTTTGCCACTCGCTCACACTCACCCCTCGAACATGAATCTAGTCTCAAACGATCCTAGTTGGCTGGTCGTCACTTTGAATCGATTTCACAGCTATATTGCAGGTTTGTGGAGAGTCAGTCAGACCCACGTGTCTCGATCTGATCTTGAATGTGGTTTCGCAGTTGCATCCTTTACTGCAGTGGTATATGATTGGGGTGAGCGAATAATATTGAAAAATTATTGATATCCTAATGGTATTTCCAGCCTTAACCTTTGGACGAGAGGTATGCCGAGACCGTATGTATTAAAGTGGATATATCACTAAGAATGGTGCTATAGGTTGAACTAGTTTGGGTGAGCAGAGTCCCGTATCAGAACAACAGGTTGATGTAATTCATTCGGGCCCAGAGGCAACACTGGTCCCTTACAACCATTTTGTACCTCACTGTACGTGGCTCATGTATACACGCAGTTGGCAAGTTGTGCTGACAATATTCGAATTTCTAGGTGCGCTATGCTGGGATACCATATGTTGTGTATGTTCCCCAGACTGAAGAGCTCAAGTTAACACTACTAATAAGTCATCTCCCACAATCAGCATGTTCATGCTAGGTATGTCTATTCACACACGCCGCAATTATTTGTTCTGATTAATAGCATGCAGAAAGTCTTCCGTCAGTCCCGCTGACAGGTATAGTGAGTATTCTGCATCCATGCCTGTTATTTCCGTCCAAACAATTGTGCTCCTACCTAGGGGTGAGTTCTCCATCGACTTGTTCGTTCAATATAATGATTGCAACAGCTGTGAGTGTTTGGGTGCTCATGATCCTCCTATGCTCATCTCAAACTGGGTTTTTGTCAGGCAATACTATGTTTATCGCACTAAACTGTATGCATGTGGTGGTTGCTGCCATGCTGGGCGGTGAGTTACTCGGCTGCAATAACCTCGTGATATCTTGACTGAAATGACAATGGGTCATACAAGTTATCATGATCACTCGGTTACATGCCATGTATCAGGGGTCGAGAAAGATGCTTATATTTCTCATTGTGATCCTACTTGTCCTCACAATCGCCGGCGGAGTGACTACTGCAATAGGAATTAAGCGTAATTCAGAGGGTAAGCTTGAATTTTGGACAAACGACTCAAGTGCATCGGGCTCATCCGAGGAATGGCAGACGCCGTTTCTAGCATCTATCAGTGCACTTATAACTACGATAGAGATGGCCGTGTTCTGATGTCCATCACTTGGATACTCCGCATTGTATGGGAAGTCCTCGTGATGTGTCTTGTAGTCTGGATTGTCATAAAACATTTCCGGCAATTGCGACCATCATCGCAAGCCACGATCATCGGAGACTGTTTCGTGGTTTTGATGAAGACTCACGCGGTGTACTTCGCAAGGTTAGTTACTAATTTGACTGTGTTTATCTTCCTCTGCTGAAGTCCCGCACGTTCCAGCTTTGTTGCTGGTTCTTGGTTGGCCCTTGGTTATTTTTTCTCGACTGTCTCGGTATGCCGATCTTGCTAGCATTTGCATGTTAGTATTTATCATTTCTATAGGACTCGACTTCCATGGGTCATCACGGTGCTATGAACATCTTCTCGGTCATGCAGATGTTTGTGCTGGGGCCCCGCCTCATCCTTAATATTCGAGGATATCATGCTAAGCTCTTAGCTGAGTACGAGACAAGAACCAGGATTCCTCCTCCAAATATTTCCCTCGAACCGTCAACTAGCGGTCCAAGTCATGTGTAGTACTACTGCCAGTGAATTCTGGAAACGCTTCAAGTGACAAACAGGGAGTAGAAGAACTTCGATGCGGCACTAGGATTCTGTGACCGACTTCTTGAGCTATTAGCTGCTTGTACTCGACAGCTGTGTACTACTTATACCCAATACCTTATGTTATCATCCATTAATTATTGGGCCATTTATATAAAGTTTCACTATCATAGATCACGTTATCTCGCTCCACTCTTGACTTCCAATGTCTATGTTCGCAAACACACAGACGCATGCGCATGCCTACGAAGTTGCTCTTTTCGGTGAATTTTTCGCTCGGGATCTCAAGGCGATTCTCAATCGCCTGACACTGCACACGGAGTCCGCAGCACCCATGCACACCCGTGAAATTTTATTCGAACAGTTCGGAGTTCAGTCACAAGTACAAGGAGATGAACCAGCGTTGCTAAGAGCAAAAAAAGAACTAGGAGATGGCACGGAAAGTGGATGGTTGGTTGGACAGCCCACTTGAACGAAGGCGTTGGATCAACCATAACACAGGACGCTTTTCTCATACCTCAAGCCGGAATCCGTACGCGTTCATCCTGAGGCCACTGTCAGACCATGGGCTACTTGCGAAGTGATTGGTGATGCCCTCAGTTTCGCTTCGGCACTGGGATATGTGTCCGTATGCTCCAGAATTCACTGTCTGTGCTTGCGCTTATAGTGTTGTCAGACAACGATCACAAATCTACAAACGTGGATATGCATTTCGAAGAGGTGCTCTGATAATACAGATGTTTCAGCAAGAGCAGGTACGTACCGTGTTGATATTGTTGCTCTCTTATCGCGCGTTGACTTTACTCTTGACTACTAGGTCGACCCAAAGACCTCCCTCCCTATACCAGCACACACCGACACACTATGGGAGGTCGAGGTCAAGACTGCCACTCAAGTTAATACATCTGCACAAGCATCTAGCGGGCACGTGCAAGTGAGCACAGTCCGTACAGCTATTGATGCTGTTCTCGAAGTTCAGCTCATCATGAAAGGACTACTGGACCTCCGGCGACAGGATCTGTAGCTTAAATCACTCAAGCGGACGGTTGTTCATGATTTACACTGGATTTGAGATGGTCACCTGCTACTCTGTGCCACGTCCTTGTCCTCAAACTACATCATTGTACACTCGACTTGTTATTGAGTACTGAAGTAAAAGTCACAGGCACCATGATGTTAACTGGACCTTGTAATTTATTGGGTAGCTTGAATCAAATAACTGCTAGACCATTGAACCAACATTATGATATAAAGCGATACAAAAACGTTGTAGGAGTAAGTGTTGATGTGGTAAATCATTGACATATAGCCTATATGGAGAATTTGATTTGATTAGGACGTTCGAAAAAGCACCAACATACTCCACGACTATGCTACCTCATTCGACTTCTACATCTCTAGCGCAGACTATTATGTCTATGGAATCAACCGCCAGTGGGTCATCAACTCGTCTTTGTGCATTTTGTTCGACCGCCGCACGTTATACTTGCCCGAGGTGCTCTACTCCAATATGTTCCCTACCCTGCTCTCGTACCCACAAATCCAAAACAGGATGTAGCGGTGAACGCAATAAGGCGGCCTATGTACAGATGAACGCTTACGGGTGGGGTACGATGATGCGCGACTACTGTTTTCTTGAAGAAGTAGGCAGAAAAGTGAGTGAATGGGGCGGAGAAATTGCTCGTGAAGGCTACCCAACGAATGTGAAAGCAAAAGATACTAGGGGAAGAGGGGGAGCACGTGGAGCCAGCGGAAGAGGTAGAGGCGGAAGGGGGACTTCAAGAGGTGGTGGATCATCCAAAAGAGATCTGCTAAAGGCTCATCTAGACAGCTTGGACATCGAGATGGATGTCCTTTCCGTCGGAATGCAACGCAGAAAGGTAAACCAATCGACTCTTGATACAAAGTGCGCTCTTATCTTCCGACCTTACGCATATACTGACTCTCATCAGGACGCAGACTGCACTATTGACGATAGAGTTCAGGTTTTACCCTGGAGCGCCGGCACAATCTTCATCCGCAACATCAGTTCCATATACAACACTTGTGCATCGCAATCCCATTAATTCGTCTTTAATATCACTTCTTCAGAGACGCGTTCCTCAGCATACGTGTGCTCACAAGGACCATCCCAAATCGAAGAAAGAACATCCTTGTCCAGACTGGGTTACTTCTCTTGTCCACCCTCATCCAGACGATCTCGAAGGCTTCAGAGTTCCTCTCTGTTACTTACCTGCACAAATGGACTTAGCCAGAATCCCACATTATCCAGGCGTCGGAGTGCGGACTGGCCCATCTTACTATAAACTTTGTCCCTCTCAAACTCTTCAGGATTTGCTTCAGGGCACATACTTCGCTGAATTCCCCACCATCCATGTACATGATCCGGACTCGTCTACATTCATCGGAAATATCATGGCCAAAAAAGGTCAATCCTCGTCGATGTCCGAGCACGAGCACGAGCACGACGTCCGAGCTATAAAAAGACGAAAGTTAAGTGCGAAAGCGGGGAGAAAGGCGATCTCGGGACTCGTCGGTGACTACGGAAGTGAAAGTGAGTCTGCATCGGAAAAAGCTGCAGAAAGGCAAACACGAGACGAGTTGGGGGCTTTAGGGAACTATGCGGAAAGCGAAAATAGCGACCAAGACCTTGCTGTAGAGGCACGCACCACCGAAGATGACATGTCTAGCATAGGTTCTTCGTCGGCGGATGAAGGAGAAAGTCCCGCGCTTGATTATGCTGCCGTTCTCGAGTTGATCAAACAAGCACAAGGCGCAGCTGACTATGATTCGGAGGTGGTTGATTGGGGTGACGATTGGGATGAAGACGTAGCAGAGTAACCCTTTTTGTCGCCTACCCTGTTGTGTATGCAGACCTTCTCCCCCCCCTTCCCTCGTGCGCTGCATAGATTCTACGGATTGGCACTCCAAATCGAATCTCCGAATGTCCACATCCGTAAGCAGCTACGACTAACGAGCATTGTCCACTAAGGCGATTGTGGTCATTGATACAGTGGAGCAACCACAGCATGGACTCATAAATAGTGAGTCAGAAATGCTCTCTTCTTCATCCCGCTTTCCAATCCCAATCATCTCCCTTCTTCTAACATATTGCTTACAATCTCCGAATCTTAAGTTTCATCACAATGTCATCCAAAGATGCCATTGAAGCCAAGCTCCTTGGTACATTCCCAGGACGCTTCATTGGCGCAATGCCAGTGCGCCAGTTTCTTAACTTCCTGCCTGAGGCAGACGGTCTTCCAGTAATGCCAAACGCGGTGTCACCGGAGGAGCTTGTAAGAATTTTACATGAACATTTCTCTGACCCATCTGATTTTGGTGCCCCTGATAGTTGACGGTTCTGCCTAAATTTACCACCAATTTTGATCTTGTCGACACTTCTAGTTGTCCTGATCCCTCTGTCGTCGTAGGCGGGTATGAATTCCAACCGACCATGGGGTTATACAAAGGCGAAAGCACTCGAAACGGAGTGACAGACATGTCCGCGATGGAGGCATGGATCATCATCAAGCCTTCCGTACAACAAGACCCCTTCATTGACCCGCCGCCAAATGAGGACTTCACTGCACCGATACCTTGCCCTGAGGAGGACCTGCTGCCATATTGGGACACTAAAAGAGACACCTATCCCAGATTCGAGTCTACTGACAAGCGGTCCATCTCAACGCGCGCACATATGGTGGCATGCACTAATGCCTTCTTCGCAACGCAGTTCCGTCGCTTTGGATTTTCCATCCTCCTCTGTGGCTCCTGGGCACGTTTTGTGTACTGGGACCACTCTGGTGCTGTCGTGTCTCGGCAGTTTAGATACACGAGCAATTTCAACCTGTTGGCTGAGTTTCTATGGAGGCTCAATCGTGCGTCGCCTGGGAATCGCGGTGTCGACGTGTCTGTGGTTCCCATTTCCCTTCCGGAGTCTCAAGACAGCGTTGTCCGGGAGCTGCTGGGCGTTGAGAGTTCCGACCCTCTGTATGGATACATTGTTCCCGTCGATACCACACTTCCAAATTCCAAAGACGCGAAAGACCAGCCTTCATCCACCCATCACTTTTACGTCGGCCCACGCCCCGCCTCAAAGCAGTGCAGCCTACTCGAGCAACGAACTCGTAGCTTCCATGTTTGGGACCTTACGCAGAAGAGAATCGTTTTCTTCAAGGAAACTTGGCGACTTCATTCCAAAGGTACCCGCACGGAATCAGAAGTATATCGGGAACTACACACTCGTCGCATTCCCAACATCCCGACCTTCGAGCACGGCGGTGACATGTCTGCCCTCGGAACAAAAACGATCACCCACTTATTCAGCAAGGCCTGGTGGTGCTGTACCCCCAACCACAAGGCACACCTCCCGCTCGTACAACATCGAATCATCCTTAGCGGTGTTGAACGGAACCTCAGCACGTTCAAGACGCCCATGGAATTCCTGACCGTATTCAAGGATGCCCTTACAGGTGAGTTTCATCTTCAATTCTCGAGTATTTTTTTGTTTCTAAACGAGTCACTGTAGCTCACAACGAAGCTTACGAACGTGGTGGTCTTCTGCATCGGAACATCAGTATGGAGAACATCGGCATCACCAGTGAGGGGCGCGGGCTGCTCATGGGCTGGGAATGCTGCTCTTCCAAATCACACGAAGAGCTATTGGCAATCCAGATGGTACGTGCAGAATTTATAATATGCGCCGGGATACTGACGCCACTTCAAATGACAGGGAACTCTACCCTTCATGTCTGGTGCTTTGTTGGATCAAAGATCCGAGAACAAGCGCCATGTGCTGGCAGATGATTTGGAATCCTTCCTGCACGTCATGGTGTACACTATGGTCCGATACCTCCCTAGCACGATGAACACCGAGCACAGGAACACCTTACTCGAAATATTTGACGAGGAGTATGTCATCGATAAGGAGGGACGGGCCATAGGCGGCTCGCGCAAGAGGGAATGGCTTGATGACCCTGAACGTCACGTCCTCAGAAAATTCCCGGCACCCCCCGAGATTGCCATGTTACTGCGACAGCTATGTGAATTGTTCCCCATTCGATACAACTTCACTATGCAGGTGATCGAGCGCCACACATACGACACGCGCTTTAAGACGCCAAGCGATCTTCTGGCCAGTCACCAGGAGATGATGAGGTATGTGGGCTTCTCAGTCCTCTCGGACGACGGGTGCTCCGACATGGATATTTGTGATTTCTAGACCACCACGGTGGATAGATATGGCTTCTAATGTCTTGTAAGCAATATAGTACAGTATAAATATTATCATACGATGTTTACATACTTGATGGTGTGGCGAATGATCAAATTGTAACAATAATACTCAGATATCATCCATCCCGAAGTCAATCTCCACTTTCTCACCCGGGTTGAATGCAGGCAGACCTTTTTAACAGATTTTCTGAGTTGAGCTGATATGAAGAGCATTTTTATAAACGCACCAAGATACGGACAGCTCGCACATCGGAATGCATCACCTAAGAAACAGCTCCCACAACTGCTAGTTGCCTTGGGAGCAGCTTTAGCAGCAGCGATCAAACTCTTTGCCATGTCACCAGCTTCCACCTCCACAGCGTTGTCGCTGTCGAGCAGGACTACTTTACCTGACTTGGCTTCTTCGGCTTCCAGCTCAGCAAGACCACATGAGCAATTCTTGCATGCCTTCTTCCGCCTCGGGGCACCTACTGTGACAGGATCGCACGTGGGGACTGGGCGTTCGCGATCTGCCGCTGTCAGGAGGGTTTCGGCATCGATTGTGGGAGTTGATGGCGATGAGAGTGCCCAGAGAGCCTTTTTGGAGGACTGCTTGGCAGGGTCGGTCTTTCTCCGGATAGGAAGTGCAGAAGGTAGCGGTGTTGCGATTGGCAAAGGCTTCTGAGCAACTATTCTGGCATCGGGATCATCTCTTACACTCTCGATGACCATGAATCCTGCTAGAGTCAACTCATGAGGAAGACTCAGGAAGCCCGCGGTTAAATTAAGAAGGTGTAGAGTTCCCAGGGGTGTCAGACCGGCAAGGGTCTGCTGAAGGAGAGATGGTAAACTTGGCGATAATGAGATGTATTCTGATGGGGAGAGTAGGACATGGATGGAAGCATAGTTTGATGGAGCCAAAGATATCGCTGTGTCAATCATGATGATTAATGAGCGATAGGCTCCGAATTGTAGAGACATACCTCCATCAATGAGCCGATCAAGCATCTGCCTTTCGGTAGTCCGCCCTTCCTGTGCATCGAGGCGCAAAAGAAGTGATTGATACTTTCCATCTTGAGCAGTGTCCAATGAACCTATCGCAAGGACAGGCCCTTTGACAATTTCCTGGGGTGACGATGCATTCATTAAGGATTTCTTGACTTCTGATGTGATTTGGGAGGGAGAAGGAGTGTAGATAGCGGTAGGTGCCATCAAACGTTGTGAACTTAACAGAGGATGACGGGAGGGAGGGAGGAGGACAGTGTCAGTTGAAAAATGTCCGGAGTGCATTATTAAATTAATCAGATAAATATTGGTTCACTTAGATAAGCAGCGGTCACAAGAACGATTTCAATCGGCCGAAATCCTCACATGCAGTGCATTATCACAAAGATCCAATCGTGTATCGATAACATTAGGGATACAGAAATGACATACAGACAACATGCTGTAATAGAATGGATCAAAATGCTCTCCAATTATTGATGACACAAGACATTCTCTGAAACATGGGAACCAGTTAATAATATTAGGAATGACAGTTGGGATAGAACTAGAACATTCACGTCAAGAATTGAAGTAGAATTCACTGCTGTAACTCCGGATTGGGCGGAGGTGGAGGAGGCATCCCAGGTGGAGGGTGCATACCATCATGATATGCAGGTGGTGGGGCCATGACAGCCCCACGCATGCGCAATAGCATTACGCGATACCAATCTTCGCCCATGTCCTTCTCCGACGAAATTTGCTGCAAGTGCGCAAGCTCCTTCATCAAGGACAGACGCCACAAGATGTTTCCATTCTCGTCTACCTGCAAATCATCTATGGGCACAGGAGGGAAACGAAGGCCGGGAGGTGGAGGAGGCATCATCTGGAAGTTGGGATCAAATCTAAAGAAAGCCTCAGTTCAGTATCGATATTTGAAACCAAACTGCATACGTGGGGGGATACGGCGGATACGGTGCTTGTCGACTGGGACCTGCTTCATCAGGATGCATAGGCGGCGGCTGCACGAACTGTGCATTAGGGTCGTTGAATGCTTCAGGATGATAATCCACATCCTGATCTTCCTCCGACTGTCGACCCTTTATGCCCTTCGGCTTCTTCTTCCTCACTCGATGGACACCCGTTCTCGGGTCAACGTTATCATTGACTGTCCAGTACGAGCCTTTCCCTCGGTCGGTAAGGGGACGCGGTACTTTCTCGAAGCATGGGTTAAGTGAAAGATTGTGTCGCACTGAGTTCTAGATACGAAAGCAAGGTTACATTAGTTTGGTGCCTGGCTCGAAGAACTAATCAAAACAAATATGAACACAATCAAACATCAACATCGCGCTCGCGTGTTTGGCGTGCATCTAATCGACAATACAGAAGCCATTGGCCAACGGCATCGGAAGAACTTTACTCACCTTCCAACCAGAAGGGGCATTCCTAAAGTAAGGAAACTGTGACGTGGAATTAGGGATTCACAAGATGCGCAAATACGAATAAGTTACCACGTACGCGGGATTCGATGGCGTAGTAGATGTCTTCGAGGAGTAGTTTTTGATTCGGAGAACCCTTTATAGCATACCTACCCACCCACAGACAAATCGAAATCGTTCACTAGAGCATATCTACAGTGAATTCGGAGTCGCTTACCGTATAAGCGTAGAATATGGGTAAAATGGTTTGCTTCCTGGTGGACCATCACGCAGAGAGTCAAGGTTGATGGGAAGACCCCCCGTTAGGTCTGCAGGCTCTTGCGGATAGTAGGAGTTGGCTTGAGCGAGCTCTGCTTCCCCAGGAGGAAGCATATTTTGTGGCATCACTGTCGGTGGTGGCTGCTGCGACATGTCTCTTGGCACAGAAAATCACAAGATGAGCGAAAGGCGCTGAACTTGCTGGCAACCTGTGGAAGGTCCGTTGATGTTGAAAAGAGCTTTCATCAAGGGGGAACATGTGCGGCTTATGTCAGGCGTGAGAAATGTGGTCGCGCACGGGCCAGTTTCCTCTCGCAGATACAGCCATTGTTGTCGAAGTATGTCTCGTCATCGTAGACCGCGGTGACAACGAGCGTTGTGGGTAAGTGTAATCAAGTTGATTTGTTTGTTTTTGCCTAACCGACATACAGACCGACACAAGTGTCCAAATTGTTGATGACACTGTAAAACAAAATCCAAACCGACCACGCTCTCCAATACACAAACAAAGTTCGCATCAGCCGACTATGTTACTCAATAATCGTCTTGCATCATTCAAGCCGACCTCATTCAAATCCTGGTTGTCCGTACCTTCACCTTTCATTCTCTATATTCGAGCAGGTGTTACGCTGGGTTTAGAGAGCCTCACGGCACCAGGCACCTGGATCCCTGCTCAGTGCGAAAAAACTCAGTTGCTATTTCGTCACCGGCATCCTTCTAGGAAGTCCTGAGCCTTATATCGGGCTTGATTTTCCTATGTGTCTTTTTCAGAATAACAGACATGTCCGGTGGTCGCTAAAATTCTGCCGCTACCGCTAAATCAGGAGTTATGTCCTACCCTCTTTGTCGAGTCTCGCAGCCCTAGTCTTACTGCAACAAGCCTTCTAGCAGAGTCTACTTACCAACGTGCTGCATGATGGCAGAGTCAACATGTCTTACTCTTGAACGCCAACATCCCGCCAAGGTGAGCTGTGTATCTTTCGCTTGTGATCAAATGATGTGCACATGGCAGATTATGAAAACCCACCCCATTGGTAGCAGGTATGCATGCAACAGCTACACGAAATACATTGCATTGGTGTTCGACGTTGGATGATGCTAAGGATCATTTCTATGTTCGAACGTCTCTGAGGCAACAGGGCCTGTCATCGCATCACCTTCGAGCGTAGTTGTTCTCTGCATAACAATGCACCTCGGCTCCATGCACTAACGTCGTCTTCGCGCGACCTTTTTCTTGTAGTCTTGGCACACCGGCGTGTTTTTTCATCCTCAAAAAGATGGGACGTTGGCGGATAATGTCCTGACTGCATATACCGCGCATGACGATTGGTGGCTCCCATCAATTTGTGAAGCCTGCGCTCGTGGAAGCCATTATCTCTTAACAAAATTCTCTGAGTCTACTACAACAAAATACATCATGGTCTGTCTCTACCCGATTCGACGATCATATAGTTGCTCGTGCTCGATCTCCGTGGAGAAACCCCATCTGACAAAAACGACTGCTCAATCCTGGGGAAAGCTTCCACTCCATGCCTTTGACCTATGCATAGAACATGTCTGGCAATTAGGTTTCCCAATCCGTTCATCTAGCTCCAGCTACGTCTATGATGTACCTTGCTCGTAAAAAAAACAAGGATATTCTTGCAATGAACCAATGATTAGATCGTCTAGGCACACACTTGAGCCGGTGGTTCGAACGCTAGAAACCACGGGAAAACATAATTCACCCAGGGGCTTTATCAGGACAATAAATTTCAGCCTGTGTGGCTTACCGCCATGATTGTAGAATCAGAAGATTTCCGGGGTCGTGCTCGGACAAAGATAAGACTCTTTCTTGGCAAGAAACACCTATCCGCAGTGAGGAATACTGCTCCCCTCAATCGGATCGGCTAAGGCAGATGAGCTCTATGATGATCATATAAATCCTGTTGGTCTGCCGGGCACGGGGGCCTACCACAGACGCACGCCGGGTCGGTGCCCGTGTATCCGAATTGGCTGTTCGTATCTACTGTCTGAAGGCAGATATCTTGATCATATACATATTATTGTCGCTGTCACCGGCAAACTACACATTCCCAACATGCGACCTTGAGGGACTCAGCCCGCGGAGACTTAGGACGCACATCAGTTCATGCCAACAAGTCTCGCCGGTGACCGATCATGATGTGCATTACAATTACGCGCATGTCTACTGCGACATAAAAGCCGTCAAATTGCACAACCGATGCACTTGAGCTCAACTATGAACATAGTCATGATCATAAGGTCTTGCTGATGACAAACAGATCAGCGCGAATGCTACAATCATGAGAGTCCAAATATACGCAGGCGATATTGCGAAGTAATTTCAAGAATTGTGTTGATTAAATAACTCCGCCTTCTTTTGACAGCGGTTGATTAACCCCGCCATCCAGCCAGAGGGATGCCAGAGCCCACAGCTTCTCTGACAACAGCTGCATTGGGGAGACTGAACGGACACCTTCCCAATACAGTGTCGCTGCTCCCAGAGATACTAGGGTGTGTTGGAAAATAATCACAGCAGCTTATTATCAATAACCGGCAGACTCATTGCGGTATTGCCTAAAATCTCACCAGACTCAAGTTGGCTAGTTTTATCCAACATTGGTGAGCCGGATAATAAACATTCGAGATAAGAACTATGTGGACTCGGATTAGCTATGACTCGGAGCCATGGGAGATACCAAATATTGTCACTTGAACCATTTCTCCTCATCTTCAGGGCGCCGCCGGGCCACCGGCGAGTCACGATGAAAAGGCAGAAATGATTTAGGATCAATCTACTTACATGCTGTCATTGTAAACACATCAGCGCTGTGTTCGGTCAGCGAGACTTGAGCTTAGCAGAGGATGATAAAGATAACCCTATCAAGGAATCAGCACTGTGTTTGCTTAGTGGGGCCTGAGCTCGACAGAAGATCGACACTGGCAACCTGTCCAAGGGATCAGCAAGGCTCGATCTCGACAGATGATCGATATACTCGTACGCTGACAACAGGTCAGCGAGGGCCAACAAGGCGCGAGCTCAATAGATTATCAACACACTCAAAGTCTGTCAACAGAGGTCAGTTGAATATGTTCTGTCAGAAAGACTGAGTTCGTCGAAGGACCAACCCACTCACAAATAACGCACCCGCATAGTCTACGATCTGGCGATCCCCGAATTCTAAACTATGCCCGATGAGATTGTCCGAGCAGGGCCAAGATATCGCTCATTAAAATCAGGTTGTTATTTCTTGCCCCAGATCAGGTTCGAGGAGTTACATTTCGACTAATGCGCACCTTCCAGTTGGTCCACTGAATTGGGACAAATGGCTGCTTGAGCGAATAATCATTCAGAACTTCAGCCGTGCGTTCGATGAGTGGCCCGCAGTCCGCATCATAGAAATCGTAAATGTACGAGAGCAGTGGTTATACAAAAGCCTTAGGTGTGACCCATTAGAAAATACTTCTCTGGCGTATTGCGAGGTCTGTGCTTGAGCATCTTTCCTCGATACTCCCATATTTATTAGCTCATGCATCCTCGTAGAGGGCGTCGAATTCATTATTACTGGAACTAGTAGTAAGGATTGCAAATGAGTCGATTATATATGACGACAGACACAAGTGCTCACTACATCCAATGTCCCGTCGCTGAGAAAAACTGACATCCTCATTGGAAATTTGGAATACAGCACCTATGCCAAATGATTAACCAACAACCAACATGGCATGTAAATCGTTCAAACGTTAGTTCTTAGAACGCCTTGCGATGAAAGTCTTCGACCGTGTTGTCAGCTTTGGAGTGTCCTCCTGCCTCAAACCTGCATGAAACGTGGAGGACGAATACCGGGTTGTGTGGAAAACATCATTTTATTCAAGGTATAGTGTAGTCCGTGCTGAGGACTTATCAAGTGACTTCACTAGCAACTAAGAACATACCCTACATCTCTGGCTGACAGTCGCTAAAACGGAGACATCGTCACCATTTTCCCTGCGCTGTCACATATATCTGGGTCCTCAGTTGACTCGAAAACCCTCTGTAGGATTGTGGTCCTGCATTTATGTAAAAAAAATTCTGTCTCCAGCTGACTTTGAAGGACCATGATGGAGAAAGGACAAGGCTAGTGTGCGGGACTTGGTAAGCGCTACGCGACTAATCACGTGATACTATTTGTTCATGTTTTAAACTTGAGCTTGAACGCGACCTCAATATTGTCGTGGATCTGCAACCTTTGAGCCATGTATATGCTACCCTGCCGACCGACCCCGTCGAAATGCACATCCTTGACATTCGTGATTAAACGCCATATATCGCGGGCTGCTTCAAAACACCACGTCCGCATGCGCGCCCTTGTCTCTTTATACCACCAGTGCGACACCTTTGTGACTCCCGAAAACCTCTCCCAGAAGATAGATGAAGCCTTTGTTCCCCGAACAAATAATCTCACCTACAACTCCAACTTCGAGAAACGCAGTTTTGCAGAGCTGAAGAGGTTAGCTGCCGAAAGAGAAGAGGAACCACGCCATTTCTTCGGAAAGAGCATGAAGCTGTCTCCCATTGGCCTAAGGGGATCGTTGGCATCTTCAAGCCCCAACAATGACCAACAAAGAACCGCGAGGGCAACAGAGGCGCTCGTAGGGGTGAGCCGGGATGGAAAGCCGTCGTGGACTGCAGTCCAAGAGAATGCACCGAAAATAGAAAAACAACTACAGGAAGATCGGAGGCAGGGCGTTTAGCTAGGTAAGCCAATTTGTTGATTACATCTGCTTACTCCGATCATGACGGTCTATCCAGAGTTGTCACTTGGCCTGCGGATGGTTAGGCAGACTCATTAGAGTGACTCAGCATTATTTTTATTTTCATTCTGCGATATTACATCCGGTTACTCCTTATATTGACGGCGAACTTCTGGCTCATCATGGACCTGTAATTGTGACGGAAGACCTGGTGGTAAGGCGCAGTGAGCTATATTGCGTGAACGCCATGTCTGGGCGCACCGGTAGACTCAGTCCAATTTCATTTATCTGAGACTTGGCAAGATCAATCGGAACTGCTAAATAAATCTTGCACTGGCATACGGATGGCACATGAAATAGTAAGCAGCTTTCATACTACAGCTATGGATGGCAGCTAACCTATTATGTGCCACCTTAAGTATTTACCTATGTATAAGTAACAATGCAACTGCGCGTAACCCAACTCAGTCCACCATGAGCTCCTCGTTGACCGGCAAACTCAGAGCTTTTGTGTTTAATCCACATAATGGCCCAAAAGTGTATCAGGACCTGAAGGCTGCTGATGTGCCAGTAACGACTGCCGAATGCAGGTCTTGCGCCGACCCTTGTGATCAGGGTGAGCCTATCATGATCAAACCCTACCTTGTCACGCGCACCAACATCGATCTGTAGATCACGATGACTTTTCTAGCAGATTGGACATCGACCTGGACTCGGACATGATAGGATCAGTGAAGCCCTACCGCCGACAGGTGCGCCTTGGCACTCGCGCACCATTGTAATATGATTTGTTGATATGATACGGTGACACAGGTGGTCATATCAACGGGCCAAACAGACTGGGAGAAGGAAGTAACCGAAGTCGAAGGCACGCTTGCTGCCTTGTTGATAACTGCCAACTCTTCATTGGGCACTTCAAAGAAGCCCAAGTCCACCAACGATCCCCTACCGTCTGGTCTTTTCTCTCATACCAACGCAGGAAGGCTCGCCATTCTCAATGGAAGTCACAGACCTTTCTCTCGTGATGAGTCGGAAGAGACTGTGATCGTCCTTCCAGACTTCATGGTCGTTTCTGGAGTCCCACGAACTTTGGCGGGCGCTGAGGCGTTGTGGAAAGCTGCTCTTGATCCAGCTCTCGATCGGGTTGGCGTGACCACCACCCGATCTGACAATCTCAGTACATGGGTTCTACCATACTCGTGTCTGATACTGCTGTGTAAGTTTCTATACAGTCGCGTGTTGAGATATATCTCACGAGTTCTACCAGGCTCGCACAAGAGACGAGACAAACGATGTGCCATCGCAGCGCCAATGTTAGAGAAGAGTGAGTCCACTGACTCCTTCCCGGCCCTGAATTAACGCCTACGAAAGCCTTCCAGCAATATCTCGAGCGAGAAGGCTGGGAAGTTCACACCGACCTGCACGATCTCACTTCCGAACCCTCCCTCGAGTCACAAGCTACCTCAACCACCGAGAATGAACAATTAATCGAGACTCGACTCAAATCCCTTCACGCTGAGCACAAGGCGTTGATACTAATGAACTCACATATAGGCGGACATAAATTCGCAGGCAACTGCATCGTGTGTGACCTTTTTGTTGTCTAAACGATACGTTGACGTCGATCTTGCAGATCTACACTCCTCGTGGAGCTGGTGTATGGTATGGGCGCGTCACACCCCATGAAATAGAATCGATTGTAAAGCACACGATTATTGATGGCCAAGTCCTCCCAACTATTTTTCGTGGTGGGGTTGACCTCGCCTGCCGCGGAAAAAAGACCCTGTATGATTGGTGACGGAACCATCCCTTAAATATCAATGATAGATGCTGTAACCTGCTAGCAGGGGAATTTACGCGTGTCCCACCCAAACGACGAAAGGGATACAGGCCACATGAATTATTACAACTCCTTTAAAATGGGGTACGTTATACTATAGAACAACAGCGATAACAGAAGCAGGTAAAAACAATCCACGATGGACAATCTTGTGTTCGACTCGAAACAAGAGATATATAACATGCTCCATAAAGAGGATATGAGAAAAGGGGGGGAATTGCATGGGGAAGGGTGGCGAGAACAAATATGCGATTAAATCAGATAAGTAGTAATGGGAGGCATAGTACCTCAAGCGGTGAGCACATGCACCAAATAATGCAAAGGTCCAAATTCGTCCGGATGGAATAAAAGCTCCGCGAGGCGCCGACCGCCTTGGACGGCGTGCGCAGCTAATACATCATACAGCTATATCTTCATCGATTCCTCTTCTTCGGTTCGAGTACCGTCCCGCGAAACTCTCCCTGTCTTCGAACTCGTCTTCTGTGGTCACCTCTGCGACCTCTTCATCGGCCACTGCCTCATCCTCATCGTCATCAGGTTCTCTACCCATGATGGCCTGCATCACCACACTTTCGCCTCCAGAATACGTGAACCCGCGGAAATTCTCTTGAACGCTGTTCGTCAGCGGCGACCCTGCCACATCTTGCTTCTTCCGCGATCCAATCTTGATGGCACGTCCCGCGCCATTTCCATTAAGTAAGGAAGAGGGGGGGGGCACTGAACCATTTGGATTTACGCCATTGACATGACGGTCACTACCCAGTGGTCCGTTCGGCATGTGCGATCCTGGCAAGCCACACTGCATTTGTGTCCATTCTTCGCTAGGATCTTCTTCGTCCGGACTTCCATGCCCGTCGAGACCACCACCAACCTCTTTGATATCAGCAGTGGTGAACTCTGGATCGAAGTTCGCAGTCGACTCATCCGACTCTACGACGGGTTTAAACGGTGGCGTCACCTGCTTGAGGAGAAGAGCTTTCCAATCTATACATGAGAAGAACGGGTGTTCTTTCAGTTCCGCGGCATCACGTTGTGCCCCCAAGCGATGTTTAGGATTTCGGTTTAAAAGCTTGATAAGCGGTTATCGGAAATGTCGAAACGAATTGAATCACGGCACTCACCCCCTTCACAAACATCTTGCCGTCTTCGCTGATAACGTTTCTCGGGAACCGAATCTTCCCAAAACAAATGTTCTTGTACATTTGCTGTGTGTCTTCGGCATAAAATGGACTCCAGCCGCAGCACATCTCGAAGAGGAGTACGCCCAGTGACCAAAAGTCGACAAGTTTGCTATATCCATGCTCGTCCAAAAGCACTTCAGGGGCGAGGTACTCGGTTGTGCCACAAAATGTCGTGGTGAGCTCGTCGGACCGTAGATCCGCCTTTGATAACCCAAAATCGCAGAGGGCGACATGGCCAGTGGCGTCAAGAAGGATATTTTCCGGCTTGAGATCCCGATAAACAATGTTGTATCTATGCAGATGCTCCAGGGCTAGAACCAGCTCCGCGATATAAAATCGGGCCCGTTCTTCGGAGAAACGTGTTTCTTTCTGGAGGTGCCAGAACAGCTCGCCACCGCTCTTGAAGTCCGTTATCAAGTACAAGTCTGTATCCGTCTGGAAACTGAATTTGAGGCCAACGAGGAATGGTGATTCTAGAGAACGTTGTAGGATCTTTCGCTCTCCGATCGTGTGAGCGACCTCCTTCTTGGCAACAATTTCCCTCTTTGATAGAACTTTCATAGCATAAATTCGCTTTGTATCGCGTTTCCGGACTTGGAAAACCTTGCCAAAGGTACCGCGTCCGATCAACTTGAGGAACTCAAAGTCGCGTGGTGTAAGCGCACGTTTAGTCTGTCACATGAAAGTTGAGAGTGAGTGAGAAGCGTTGTCAGGAGGGGAGATCAAGTGATGCGAAAGGGAGGCCGAAATCGTGGAGTGGGTGAGAATGAAAGAGGTTAGACTGGTGTAACGTACCTTGTATTGCTCGAATGTGATCTGTACCCGCATTTCTCCGCTTATTACTTCGTTTTCGAACGGCCGAAGCCTGTGCGTACATAAGCAAATGATGCCATTAGTAACGGAAGGACGGGATGACAGTTGACAGGGCAAGTGGGAAGTTGTACGAGATGGTACGTACTTGTACCATTGATCAACTGTATGGTCATGAATGAGGACTGGCTTGATTTGTACAGTGCCGAGAAATAGATGGTCCGCGACACGGTCATACAGGTTAAATGAAACAAGGGATTCTTCGGACGTAACGTCGCTAGAAAGAATTAGAAAGCGAAATTTGATAAGTTGATTATGGGATACTGACAATGACACCTCGTGTTTCCACACGGGATTATGTGCGGATAAGCGACCAAAAAGGCCTTGAGTTGTAGAAGGTTGGTTGGTTGGGGAAGGTTGATTGCACGAAAGAGATGAAGAGGGGGAATTTCCGGGACTAGGCTTGCCTGGTGGACGAGGAACGCCGATAGATGAGAGAGCTGAGAGAGCAATAGAGGAGGAAGCGCGAGAGAGAGCGGTCGCAGTTCCCTTGACCTCCTTGTCCATTTCGTCGGTGGGATCACGACTTACGAACTCGTTTTGCTCGAATTGAACGACGACATAAGGTCGTGAGCGTACGGATGTGACATTAAGACCGCGGGCAGATATGAGCTTGACGTGGATCTGACCCTTTGATGTACCGCCGGTTGAGTGGGGAGGAGCGGTTGAGGTAGATGCGATTGAGGAAGTCCTAGTCGAGGGGGACGATGACGATGGCGTATTGGATTTATTCTCCATTGAATCTGAGAGGTTGGGTAATTTTTTAGTGTTACGCATTGAAAAATCCGGTGCATGAAGGGAAATTTGGGTTGTAGGGATACGAGCGGCAAAGGCACCGGATAGAGGTGTTATAGGACCTGGCGGCGTGAGATCGGCGTTCGCCGTGGTAAGAGAGGGAGAGCCAGTTCCCAGTAAATGGTGATGAATTGAAAAGGCTGGTGAAGTTATAGTTGGAGTTGCAAGACCATTGCTGGATGAGCGCGGTGAATGAGATGATTGTACCTCGAAAGGATTAGGACGCTCATGACCATCAGCATTAACTCTGGGTGTTATCTGGTCAATAGCTGACCAGAGTTTAATCATTTTTTGAATTGACAAAAAAGACAGTGAAGAAGAAGACGACGAGGAAGACGACGACGACTTATCGGACGAAAGTGGAGCGGACCTCATTTTATGATATGTGGTGGAGTGTTCGAGGCTCGCTACTGTTTTAAGGAAGATCCATCATACGCTAACCGAGTAAATTTTTAGATAAAGTCTCCTCGGGCTCTCTTCAAATATTCTCTGCCCCATCGAAGAAATCCCATTCCTCCACCAATAATCGACCCAAGCAATAACGCACGACTTGCAGTACGCCATCGTAGTCGGTCTAACCAGTCAAATCAGTCAACACAACTTACCACACACGTCCTTCAAACTTACAAACAATAGAGAAAGCCCCCGCAGTACCAACACCGGCTCCAACCTCTTTCAAATCATCAAAACCTGCCCCACACCGTCCTAATCCATCCTCAATCCCAACCCAAACTAGTGCTGTAACTCCAAGTTTAACCCCTTCCTTACCACCAGATAAAAGTCCGGTAGCCATTCTTTTGTAATTTTTCGTTTTATTGTAGAGATACCATCCCCGAATCGTCTTCGGTGGCCGGTGTGCGTTCTCCGCGAGAAAACGAAGGGATGCAAGGCGAGATCCACGCACCGCCCCAATGAATACCCCCACTAATGCTGCGGAAGCAGGGAGAATAAAGTACCGAGACTCCAAAATTGGTGTCACGTCGTATCGCTTGGTCCCATCCTCGTGGTTAGACATGAGTATGCTATGAAGAATTATGATTCATGAAAGTCGAGTGTAACAGTTGCACAGATCGTCGCTTCCTAAATCGAGTCAATGACGTCTTCCTCATTTGTACATAAAAAATAAATCGCCCCATAACGCGTACCGGCCCGTACAAAATATCTAGGTCATACATTCCGCGGTCCTCACAGACGGGCCTTAGACAGTACAGCAAACTCCTTTTGTTTCAGTTCCGCAGCGCGCTTATGCAGTCCCGGTGCACGCTTCAACTCACGCTGCCCGACCTGTTGGATGTGAACCTAAAACACAGGGTAAGATATTTACTATTTTCAGTCATGCAAACATACTTCATCAGGTCCCTGTAAAAACCCGTTAATCACAACTACATGACGATGCAGGAACAGAAGACGCACATCCGCCAACCGCAGTGTCCGCAGTTGAGCAAACATGCTCGCGAGTTCTTGGTCCTGGCTCAATCCCTCGGCACCATATGCTTGCATAGCCCGATCAACCACTCCGCAGGCCATCGCAGGCACGACAAACTATAGAATAAATTGCATCATAGACTGGAAGAGCGAATCGAGAAGTCGTGCCTTGGCAATGCCGATTTCCTTCAACGCACCCTTGGCTCGTTGCTTGTCAATCTTCAAGACACGTCATATCTTAGTACCGCGACGACCAACACAGGCACTCACTTGAAGCGCTGCGCTCATGACAAGAAGACGTGCAGACTCAATCTCAGCCCGCGACTGCGCAATTTCAGCCACCACCGTACCTGAATCACAAGTGAGGTCGTCTGAGCTTCTAGAATTTTCATGACAAAGAATTGGTCACTCGCCATGTTGGTAAAGAAATTTGCCAAAAGTCTTTCGGGTAGGGTCTGTGACGCGCTCAATCATAAGGTCCAGAGCCCGCGATGCTGCACCTATCGAGCGCATACAATGGTGAATACGCCCTGGACTATCAGTAGGTCAGACTTGAGTGGAGCTTGGCAACAAAGCTCGACCCTGCATACCCTAAGCGGCCTTGGATTATCTCCAATACACCATAAGCCAAACGCAAAATGCAAGAGCCATAAGCCGAAAACGTCATTTACCTCAAATCCTCGTCCCCAGCCTAGCACCAAGTTGCCCACAGGCACCCTGACATTGTCATATATGACCTCACAGTGTCCCTCAGGCGCGTCATCGTACCCAAATATTTCCATGGGCCGAATAATCTTTACTCCGGGCGCGTCTGCCGGCACTATGACCACACTTTGTTGCTGGTACACGTTCGCATTGTCTGGGTCGCTCTTTCCCATTACGAGGTGAAGTTTGGTACGCGGGTCACCCGCTCCCGATATCCACCTGCCCAGATGACGCTCTGAATGACGTCAGTCTCTAAAAGACTTGTACACGCACCACTTGTGACCATTTATAACAATCTCATCTCCTTCCCTCTTGATAGATGTTTTGATATTGCGAGCGTCCGAGGAAGACACTACGAACGTCATCCACGGTCAGTTACCTGAAAGCCGCGCAAAAAGCAAACACGAACCAAACCGCTCAGTCATCGCAAAAGCAGACCGAATCCCGCCATTCAGTAAAGGAACAAGCCACTTGTTTTGCTGTTCCGGAGATCCATACCGCGCGATGACCTCTTCACGAGCGTTCAGGTAATTCAGGGTAGTAGCAGCAGCAAACCCTGCACATACCCATGTTCCCGGTATCAGGGGCCGAGCAGTTGACAGCCTCGGAAGCCAAGTGTCCCCCGCGTCCGAGAACCTCAGCCATAACCGCATACTAACCCGATTGCCAAATATTACTAATGCATTTACAGCAGAGCAAAAAATAACGCACTTCGACATTGGTCAGCGGAACGCCGTGTTCGGGGTAATGCGTCTTGCTCAGGAAAAGGTTCCATAGCCCGAGCTTACGGGCTTTCACTTTGAGCTCTTCAATTACGGGAATCACCGTCTTCCATCGCTGCGCAGGGTCTTTGGGGAGCTGTGCATGTGCGAGCTTCACGGATGGGAGGATTTCATCCTGTACAATATGGTAAGCTTGTCGAATGCGCAGTACTGCGGGGATAATACATACCTGAAGGAAATATACGAGTTTTGCGAGCGTTTCTTTCCCATAGGGTGTAAACCTGTCCTCGATCTGTGCGACATGAGTCTTTCGTTATGAAACGGATATCATAAATCGTACGAGATTCCAGGATGCTTCTGAGGTTAGTTCCACCACTGGGTGAGGAGCCATTGCGTGATAGTTGAGAGTGTGGGGGAAACGTGCCAACAGAAGAACGCACTGCTTGTTTAAGCGCGGGCCGGCTAATACCCGGACTAACGGGAAACTACATAATACCCGAGCCGGATCTGAAGCCGGTTTAGTCGGCAGGTGGCACTACTGTGGCACTGATCTCAGCCTCGTCGACTCATCGATCAAGCTAAATTTACTATTGCGATACTGGGTCATAGAAGGCCCGGAAGTTATTATAGTAGTGAGTAATTTCTGAGCGCGTAAAGTGACGTACTCTTCAGTAACAGAGTCGTCAATCAAACAAAACTGTGAAGGGTGTGCGTACATATGGATATCATTCAGTGAGAGAACCAGATGTTCCCAAGCAGAGGAGGAAGTGAAGAACGTAAAAAAAAAGTCGTAGAAGTACATTGTCGACTAAGAAAACACCACAGCGAGAAGTCCTGTAAATGAACTAGGGCGAGGAGTGTTGGCCTGCGAGTAGCTCTGATGAAGCATCACCAAGGGTGAAGGGCAACTCAGGATCCAACCCAAATGCGCCAGCATCAAAAGTCTGCCAGAGAGAGTCTGGTTCACCACCTACTGAGTAACCATGCGAATTGTAGTTGCGAATATAATCAAGCCCCAAGAACGGTAGTCCAGGGGCTGCGAACGAAGCGGTGGGTGGGGTAGTTGAAAGACCCGAGTAGCCTTGATCTGAAGAGTACCACGGAGTGTCCGTATTGGATTGCGGGTCGAAATTGCCAAATGGGAGAGAATTACTATGCGAAGGAGATGGGTACAAATCAGTTCCACGAGGTTCGACTGTGTTAGAGTCCCATTGGTGTGTGCTCGAAGAGACGAGGGGACTATGGTGCATGCCATAATCATATGGTGACGATACATGCAGAGGAGAGAGAGGAGGTCCGGAATAACTATACGGTATGACATTCGGGCTGCCCTCTTGCTGTTGCGGGCTCTCAAGTGTGGACATGGACGGCGAGGGGAGGTTCACAGAGGCTGGAGAGCTGTGGGGGCTTGGTTTCGAAGGTTGTGGGGTGGAGAAGGCACCTTGATAGCTCAAGCTTGGACCTGCAAGTCCTTCGCTCTCGTCGTGGCCTCGCTTACGAGATGTAGACCTGTTGCGTTGTGCTGTAGTCCGTCATGTCAGCCAAACTCATCAGACAGCTTATGGCTGCTTACATTCAACACGATAGGGAGGTGAAGTCATCGGGCGTCGAGTAGAAACAGGATCTCGGGATCTGCTGATCTTCCGTGGTTTGCTCTTGATAGGCCTATTGACCGTCGGAATTTGGCCAGGTGACGACACAAGCGATCGCCTTCGTTCAAGCATGGCAGGTGCGACAGGTGGTGGCATGGGCATCATCTGAGCCTGCCTAGTATCGCTATTGTCTTTCCTGATCGCTTCCTCCGCGGTGTTTGTCAACTCCGCGAGAAGCTCCTTGCATTTACGAGCCCCGGGCCAATGTCCTTCCCAGGACTCCAGTGCCGTCAAACAACTCTTGGCCTCATCCATAGCAGCAGCAGCAGCTCTAGCGTCAGTGCAGTGCATGGCATAAAGAAGGACAATGACAGCGGAGCTAAAAAGATGCTGGATGAAGAAGGCAAGGTGATGCGATGGTGGAACGACATTGCTGATAGATGGTGCTAGTCGTATGCAGGAGCGGGCAGATGAAACAGCCCTGGCAGTGGATTTGGGTAGTATAGGCTGGTCACGCTTGACAGGCAAAAAATTGCGATGTAGCGTGGTCAGTACGGAATAATAATGACTGCAAAGTACTGCGCCCATGGAGACGTGTTTGTCTGTGACCGCCTCGTTCCGGAACGTCGGAGGAAGATCGTCGCACCACTTGTTCAGCTCCTCGTCGAGCTCCTCTACAGAACGCTGAAGTTCTGAGCGTCTCTCTTGATCGAGCACATCTTTACATTTATCGATGGCATAGACCTGCCGCAGAACCCGTCCCGCAATTTGGTACAGGGTTGTCAAAGCGATAGCGCCCGTCATGAGCGATGGATATTTTTGCGGGAGGGTAACTCCAGAAAAATAATCTGCTAAGTTCTCATCGTCGACCGCAACAGGTATCTCGACATCACAGTCAGAGTCTTCGATACCAAGTGGACGGCCGAGAGCGAGAGCAAGCATACGATCCAAGCAGTACACGCTCCACCATATTTTTCGGCGAGTTTCTTTGTCAGTGGTGGAGATCGCGAGACGGCGCGGGGATCGCTACAGTAAGAATTAATTAATCAACCCGGACATCAAAAATGAGCGGTGCTTACGTGTAAACCCAAGTCTTGAGCAGTTCGCACTGCTTGTCCCACGAGTAGCCAGGCCTGCGGAAGACAGTTGACCGAACATAGGAACGAAGACATGAGAATGAAGCACTGGACGTGAGACACCTGAATAGATGCGTGACTGATATAGTGCAATATAAGAGCTCTAGCGGGGTTTATCGTTAGGGAGGACGTCAAGTTTCCATGGCGGCCGAAGGCATACCTCTCATAGTAAATCATCCCCGTGCCGCCATCATCTGGATTTTCGCAAGTCAGACGGGGATCGTTGACTAGGTGTGCCGCACAGGCGAACACTGCGAAGACCACGGAGATAAAAGAAGCTTCTGCTTGAATAAAATCAATGTCGTCACGCTTAGCCATTAATTGTTTGTATCTCGGCATGAACGAGGGTTTATCAAGGATAGGCATCAGAAAATGAAGACGCTCGAAATAGGTTTCCACCTTGATGCGATCTGGTTAGATAGGATCGATAAACCAAGAATATGTACTTACCAGCTTATCGCAAAGGTCCTCGTCCGGGTATTCGACCTCTTCTGGG